CTCAGTTTGCAGCTTAAGCTACCCCAGGCACCTCCAAGCACCATAGAAGTGGCAACCATCTGCAGATCACTTTGTAGCTCATACCAGCTGCCACAGGCAAGACACAAACAGTGGGTGATTTGACCTGCACCACCCAGAACCAGTGCACCCAGTGGCCAGCTTCCAGACCACCGCAAAGCACCACCCAACCATCTAAACAGACTACACAGCCAAATGCCAGACTCAGCAGGCGTTAGAGTCCCACTAAAGCAAATTCTGCTCTGTAAGGTCAGCACCTGCACAGAAGCTCCCCCACTGTAGTTACATCCAGTCCTCACAACCAGTCAGCCTGAGGATCAGTTCCTTCCACTGAAATGCATCAAGGCTCACCTGCCATAAGAGGACATACACACCTCACAGAAGGAACAAACTGGAGACCAAGCTCAGATGGGCCACTTTACCAAGACCAGTAGATAAAACAACTTTACCCAATACCTAGAAACAAACATAGGGAGGCTGCCAAAATGAGGAGACAAAGAAACATGTCCCAAATGAAAGAAAAGAATAAAACTCCAGAAAAAGAACAAAATAAAATGTAGACAAGCAATCTACCAGGTGCAAAGTTCAAATCACTGATTATACAGATGCTAAAGAACTTGGAGAATAAGTGAATAGACTTAGTGAAAACTTCAACAAAGAGACAGGAAAGAAACAATGGAGATAGAAAACAAAATAGAATCAGTCAGAAGTGAAGAATACAATAAATGAATATATTAGAGGGAGTCAGTGGTAGATTATATGAAGCAGAGGATCAAATCAGCAATTTGGAAGATAAGGTAACAGAAAACACCCAGTCAGAACAGCAAGATGAAAAAGGAATGTGGAAAAAAATGAAGCTAGTGTAAGGAGTACATCAAAGAGTATGTCAGGCTTAGTAATATATGTACCATATGGGTACCACAAGTGGAAACAAGAAGCAAGGAATTGAAAACCTATTTGAAGAAGTAATGATGGAAAACTTCCCTAACCTGGTGAAAGAAATAGACATACAAGTCTAAGAAGCAGGGAGAAACCTTCACAAGATGAATCCAAAGAGGTTCACACCAAGACACGTCATAATTAAAATGGTAAGTGATAAAGACAAAGAATCTTAAAAGGAACCAGAGAAAAGAAATAAGTTACCTACAAGGGAGCTCCCATAAGACTGTGAGCTGATTTCTCAACAGGCCAGAAGGGTTTGACATTAAATATTTAAAGTGATCAAAAGCAGGGACCTACAACCAAGATTACTATATTCAGCAAAGCTACCATTTAGAATGGAGAAAGAGTTTTCCAGACAAGAAAAAGCTAAAGGTGTTCATCAACACCAAACTAGTATTACAAGAAATAATAAATGAACTTCTTGGCAGTGGGGGGAGCCAGAGGAGGAGAAAGTGGAATAAAAAGTGTGAATAATAAAAATAGCAGTAATTACACATCTGTTAACAATTACTTAAATGTAAATGGATTAAATGCTTCAATTGTCTTTTGACATAAAGTGGCCGAATGGATAACAAAACAAGACCAGTAACATATGCTGTCTACAGGATACTCACTTCAGATTGAATGACACATATAGATTGAAAGTAAAGGCAGGGAAAGATATTTCATGGAAATGGAAACAAAAAAAAAAAAGCTGGAGTAGCAATAAACTTATTCCAGACAAAATAGACTTTAAAACAATTACTATAATAACAGTTAAAAGTGGACCCAGCAATTCCATTTCTGGGTATTTTTCTGAAGAAATCCAAAATACTAATTTGTTTTGTTGTTGTTGTTGTTTAATATATTTTATTTATTATGCCATTACACTTGTCCCATTTCCCCCCTTCATTCCCCTCCACCCTGCACACCCCTTCCCACCCCTTCCCCTCCTTTAGTTCATGTCCATGCGTCATAAGTTCTTTGGCTTCTACATTTCCCACACTACTCTTGCCCTCCCCCTATTTTCTCCCCATCTTCTATGCTACTTATTGTTTGTACATTCTCCCCCTCTCTCCTCCTCCTACTCCCCTGTTGCTAACCTTCCATGTGATCTCCATTTCTGTGGCTCCACTCCTGTGTTAGGTGTCCACTTAGTTTGCTTTTGTTTTAGGTGTGGTTGTTAATAACTGTGAGTTTACTACAATTTTACTATTCATATTTTTTATCTTCTTTTTCTTTTTTAATTAATTTTTTATTGATTATGCCATTACAGTTGTTTTATTCCCCCCTTCATTCCCCTCCACCCTACCCCCATCCCCACCATTAACCCCCCTCTTTAGTTTATGACCATGTGTCTCAAGTTCTTTAGATTCTATATTTCCCATACTATTCTTGCCCCCCATCTATTTTATGTCTACTGCCTATGCTACTTATTTTCTGTACCTTCTCCCCCCTTTTCCTCCTCCCACTCCCCTGTTGCTAACTCTCCTTGAGATCTTCATTTCTGTGTTTCCACTCCTCATCTAGCTGTCCTTGTAGTTTGCTTTTATTTTAGGTGTGGTTGTTAATAACTGTGAGTTTGCTGTCCTTTCACTGTTCATGTTTTTTTATCTTCTTTTTCTTAGGTAAGTCCCTTTAACATTTCATATAATAAGGGCTTGGTGATGATGAACTCCTTCAATTTGATCTTATCTGAGAAGCACTTTATCTGCCCTTCCATTCTAAATGTAAGCTTTGCTGGATAGAGCAATCTTGGATGTAGGTCTTTGGATTTCATGACTTGGAATACTTCTTTCCAGCCCCTTCTCGCCTGGAAGGTCTCTTTTGAGAAATCTGCTGACAGTCTGATGGGAACTCCTTTGTAGGTGACTGTCCCCTTATCTCTTGCTGCTTCTAGAATTCTCTTCATTTTAATCTTGGGTAATGTAATGATGTGCCTTGGTATGTTCCTTCTTGGGTCCACCTTCTTTGGGATTCTCTGAGCTTCCTAGACTTCCTGGAAGTCTATTTCCTTTGCCAGATTGGGGAAGTTCTCCTTTATTATTTGTTCAGATAAGTTTCCCACTTGTTGCTCTTCCTGTTCCCCTTCTGGTACCCGTATAATTTGGATGTTGGAACGTTTAAAGATATCCTGGAGGTTCCTAAGCCTCTCCTCATTGTTTTGAATTCTTGTTTCTTCATTTTTTTCTGATTGGTTGTTTCTTTCTTCCTTCTGGTCCACTCCCTTGATTTTAGTTCCAGTTTTCTTTCCATCACTGTTGGATTCCTGTGCATTTTTCTTCACTTCACTTAGTGTAGCCTTTATTGTTTCATCTAATTTGCAACCAAAATCAACCAGTTCTGTGAGCATCCTGATCACCAGTGTTTTGAACTGTGCATCTGATAGGTTGCCTATCTCTTGGTCGCTTAAAAATATTGGCTCTGAGGCTTTGATTTGTTCTTCTGATTGAGCCATTTTTGGTCAGGTCATGCCTGTTTTGTATGGGTAGCAGAGCTGTAGATGTTCACCAGGGTGGGGCAACCCATATTGGTGGGTTGTGACGCTGTATGTGGAGGTGGAGCCAGAGAGGGAGCAATGGGGCTTGTTCTGAGCTCTCTCAGATTTCAGTCCCCTCTGCTTCTTCCCACCAGCCGGTACCTTTTCAGTCAATGCTTTTAGGCTTTATTTCCTGTCGCCGGGGCCCTGGGTTGCGAGGTCTGTCTTGCTGCCTGTTTTTACGTAGTTTATCTGCATGCGAATGTGCGACCACAGTCAGGCCCACACCGCCTGCACTGTCAGGTCTGGCTGCCACTGCCTTTTCCTGCCCCGCAGTCCCTCTCTGCTGGCTGCCAACTCTGCCCCTCTTACTGGTCTGATTAAATGGTTGTCTGACTTCTGTACAGTTCAGTTTTCTGTCTGTTCTGGTTGTGTTTTTGTTTCTCAATCTTTGTTGTCCTTAATTTTGGTTGTGCAAGGAGGTACAGTATTTCTACCCACACCTCCATCTTGGCCAGAGCCAAAATACTAATTTGAAAAGACATGTGCAACCATAGGTTCATGCAGCATTATTTACAATAGCCATATTTAAGCAAGCTAAGTATCCATCAGCAGGTCAATTTATAAAGAATAACTGGTACATATATACGATAGAGTATTATTCAACCATAAAAGAGAATGAAATCTTGCCATCAGCAATAATGTGAATGGACCAAGAGAATACTGTGCTAATGTAAGTGAGGCAGAGAAAGACAAAATCAATATGATTTCACTTATATGTGGGATTGAAAAAACAAGTGAACAAACAAAAACAAATGAAACTCATAGATACAAAGAACTTTTTTCCTCACTCAACTATATGTTTATTGATTTTAGAGAGAGAAGAAGCCAGAGGGAGAGAAACATTGATCAGTTGCCTCCCATACACACCCCAACTAGGGATCAAACCCACGACCATTTTGTGTATACGACAATGCTTCACCCAACTGAGCCACTTGGCCAGGGAGATACAGAGAACATTTTGATGGTTGCCAGATGGGAGGGAGTTGCCAGATGGGAGGGAGTTGAGGGTTGGGTGAAAAGTTGAAAGGATTAAGAAGTACAAATTGGTAAGTTACAAAATAGTCAAGGGGATGTAAAATAGAGCATAGGGAATATAATCAATAAAATTATAATAATCGTGTATGGTTCCAGACAGGTACTAGATTTACCAGGGTAATCACTTTATAAGTTAAATGAATGTCCAATTATTATGTTGTACACCTGAAGGTATCATAATATTGTATGTCAACTGTAATTGAAAAATAAAAATGTATTTTAAAAATGATAAAACTAAGATAAGAAACTTGCAAAATGTCACATCACTAATAAGAGACAGAGCCAGGACACAAACCCAGACATATCTAACTTCAGATCCCTTCTACTTTGTCTTCTACTTTCCTTGATTTCTTCCATTATAATTTGTTGCCTCATGTTAAAATACATATTTAATTGCAAAATGTTATTAATTAGCAGAAACACACTAATAGTAAAATGTTATTAGTCTAAGGAATCTCACTATTTCTATTCATACATTTCTCAGGAAGATACTCTACACAAGTCAGCCAGCAGCAGCAGTGTGTCTCCCTCTTTCCTTGAAGATCCCTTCCTGGAGGCTGTGTCCACAAGGAAGAGTGAGTAAAGAACTAGCATCAGATACCTTAAAAACATTCTTGTCCTAGATTAGGGAATCTCAAAGTATCTTGTGATTATTTGGGGTATAAAGAACTAAAGCTGAAATTGCACTACTCAGGACCAGAAATATTCAGTCATATTCCTAGAGTGACATAAGGTAAGGCTAAACTAATAACAGACCTCAGTTTCTTAACTTACATCAATCAGCTTTGGGTTTACACATAATAGTTGTAGGAAATAAGTCAATTGTCTGTGGGGGTCGTTTTTAGATTAATTACCTCCTTGTCTGAATGTAAGCCTAAAGCCCAATAATCACACTTGTTACCACCCTCCACACACATATACATATATTCATACCCACATAACATGTGTAGATAGTAAAAACACTATAACTTCAGAATATTAAATGACTTCTAAATGCTTCTATTACCCTTTTTTTACTTATAAGATTATAAAGGATTAAAATCTTTATATTAATGGAGAAGATTCTGAGAAAATAGTAGAGTAGGTAGTACCAAGAATTTGCGTCTTCACCTGGACAACAAATTCAGTGGCAGAATTGGTTTCGTCTAAATATTTTAGACCTCCAGAATGTGTTGAAGGCTTTCAACTTCCAGGGAAAGATTTAGATAGTAAATTGTGGTTAATTTAAGTCACCTTATAGCAACTACTTATCTCCTACCCCCAGCCATGAGGCAGGCAGTTGTGTACTATTTCTGGAGCAATTTGTACACAGCTTTCAGGAGATAGGATGGGCCAGAAGGACCCTGTCCTCCAAAAACTGTGTTCTCATTTCTGTTTCTGACTCCAAAGGTGGGCAGCCATTGTTGAATTCTTACTAGTTTCCCCCCACTGCAGCTCATGGGACTTCCAGGACATTTAAAAGGCTGGCATCCAGAACAGCCTTCTAGCCAAGATGGAAGCATAGGTAGAACACTGCCTCCTCGCACAACCAAAAGAAGGACAACAACAATTTAAAAACAAAAAACAACCAGAACTGACAGAAAATCGAACTGTGTGGAAGTCTGACAACCAAGGAGTTAAAGAAGACACATTCATCCAGACCAGTAGGAGAAGCAGAGACAGGCAGTCAGGCAGGGATGACTTCCATCAAGGTGGTGGCTGGCGAATCCAATGAGGCAGTAGCTTGCAGACTGGGTGGTCCCACATTCACATGCAGATAAACTGGGAGGAACAACTAGTGAGCAAGATGGACTACACAACCCAGGGCTCCAGTGCTGAAAACACCTGTGGGGGTTGAGACAGCAGCAAGAGAAACTCCCAGCCTCACAGAAGAGTTCATTGAAGAGATTCACAGGGTCCTGGAACATACACAAACCCATAATCCGCACCAGAAGGGCCTTGTTTGCTTTTGGGTAGTCAAAGAAAGTGACTAAAAACCAGCAGAAAACAGAGCAAGTGGCACTGTTACCTCTTGGACCACTCTCCCACATATAGCGTCTCAATGCAGCATGGTTTACCCCACCCTGGTGAATACCTAAGGCTCCACCCCTTATTCTGTAACAGGCATATGGAGACAAAAAGAAAATGGCATGAAAGAACAGATCAAAGTTCCAGAAAATATACAACTAAGCAACAAACAGATAGCCAATCTATCAGATGCACAGTTCAAGACACTGGTGATCAGAATGCTCAAGGAGCTGACTGGGTACTTTGACCAGCATTTAAAAAAACCCAGGCAGCAATTAAGGTCACATTATGTGAAATAAAGAAAAATCTACAGGGAATCAACAGTGACGGGAAGGAAACCAGGACTCAGATCAACAGTGTGGAGCAGAAGGAAGAGAGAAACATTCAACCAGAACAGAATGAAAAAACAAGAATTCAAAAAAATGAGGAGAGGCTTAGGAACCTCCAGGACATCTTTAAATGCTCCGACATCCAAATTATAGGGGTACTAGAAGGGGAAGAGAAAGAGCAAGTGGAAAAGTTATTTGAACAAATAATAAAAGAGAACTTCCCCATTCTGGCAAAGACAATAGACTTCCAGGAAATCCAGGAAGATCAGAGAGTCCCAAAGAAGTTGGACCCAAGGGGGAACACAGCAAGGCACATCATCATTACATTAGCCAAGATTAAAATGAAGGAGAGAATCCTAGAAACATCCTAGAAGCAAAAGAAAAGGAGACAGTCACCTACAAAGGAGTTCCCATAAGACCATTAGCTGATTTTTCAAAAGAAACCTTACAGGCAAGAAGGGGCTGGAAAGAAGTATTCCAAGTCATGAAAGGCAAGGACTTACATCCAATATAGCTTTATCCAGCAAAGATATAATTTATAATAGAAGAGCAGATAAAGTGCTTCTCAGATAAGGTCAAGTTAAAGAAGTTCATCACCCCCAAGCCCTTATTCTATGAGATGTCAAAGGGACTTATCCAAGAAAAAGAAGAGCAAAAATATGAACACTAAAATGACAACTCATAGCTATTAGCAACCAACCCTAACAAACGAAAACAAACTAAGCAAACAACCACAACAGGAACAGAATCACAGAAATGGAGATCATATGGAGAGTTATCAGTGGGTGTTGGGAGGGAGAGAGAAGGGGAAAAGGTTCAGAGAATAAGTAGCATAAATGGTAGGTAGAAAATAGACAGGGAGAAGTTAAGAATAATATAGGAAATGGAGAAGCCAAAGAACTTATATGTATGATCAAGGACATGAACTAAAGAGGGGGAATGTGGGTGGGAGTGGGTGTGCAGGGCAGAGAGGTATAAAGGGGGGAAATGGGACAACTGTAATAGCATAATCAATAAAATTTTTTTTTAAAAAAGAACAGATTAATAAGTTCAAATTGAATGTTACAGGATAGTCATAGGGATATAAAGTACAGCATATGGGATATAGTCAGTAATATTCTAATAACTATGATGTCAGTGGGTACTATATTTATCAGAATGATCACTTGGTAAGTTTTAGAATGAGTAATCACTGGGATGTACACCTGAAACTAATGTAATATTGTCTGCCAGTTATAATTAAAAAGTAAAAATGATTTAAAAAAAACACTGAAAGAATTGACATTACTGATTCTACTGAAATAAAAAGAATTATGAGAGAGTACTATGAACAATTTTATGCCATATTGGATAATGTAGATGAAATAGACAAGTTCCTGGGAATGTAGAACACAGCAAAATGAAATCAGAGATAAATAGAAGATTGGAATAGCCCTATAACTAGTAAGGATATTGACTCAGTAATCATAATCTTCCCACTAAGAAAAGGATGGGACCTGATGCTTCACTAGCGAATTCTACCAGATACTCAAAGAACTGTTATCAATCTTTCTCAAATGTTTCTTTTAAATTTGAAGAAGACAGCACTTTGATACTAGCATTACCAGAGACCAAACCACTCAAAGACACTACAAGAAAACTCTAGACTCAGTAATACTAATGAACCTTAACGCAGAAATCCTCAACAAATACTAAAAAACAGAATTCAGCAGTGTATACAATTATACATAACCAAAGACATTTATTCCTGGAATGCAAGAACTTTTCAACATATGAAAAATGATCGGTATAGGGACTTCAGTATAGGTTAATACAGACACATAGTTAAACACGGTTCACCTCCTCACAGAACTACATCAAAAGTACAATTGAACTATAGAACAGTCATCACTCAGAACCATCAGAAATCAAATTGAATGGGAAGTCTGGCAAATATAGAATTAAAGAAACCACATCCATCCAGACTGGTAGAAGGCACAGAGATGCAGAATGAGTTAGTTCCACACCCACATGTGGGGGATAAAAATTTGAGAGGGATATCTCAGGATTGAGGAGTCCCAGCCCAGGATTCCAGTACCAGGAAAATAAGTCCTCATAACTTTTGCTGCAAAAACCAGTGGGGATTAAGGCTGTAGAAGAAACTTGTGGTGTTCCAAGCAGTTCCTCTTAAAGAACTCACAAAGGGACTCACTCAGACTTACTCTTCTGAGCTCCAGCACCAGGGTAGCAGCTTGAAAGGCATCAGTGACATACAAGGAGGAACTGAAGTGTATGATGTCAAGGTGAGGACTGGGATAGAGCTTTCTCACAGACAGGTGGGCAGAGGCCATTATTTTTTTTAATGAACCCTTCCGCCACAGAGCCACTGAGCTGGCAGGTGGGTGCTATATCTGAGACTCCATCAGCTATACTAATCCTATTAGCCCTGCCCTGAAGATCCCCTAAATCTCCATCCCACCCAACTTGCCCACGCAAACTGTTAACAGTGGCTTTTCCATATGAATGTCTGGTCTTGGCTCAGGCTTCTCAACTTTCTAAATCCTCTCAAACAAGCAACAGCTGGTCTCAGTGAGCTCCAGCCCCATACCTCTAGCTGAGTAACCCCAGGCCTAGCACCTAGGTTCAGAGTTTGGCCTCACCTGGGAAACTTCAAGTTAATCTCAAGTAGCAGCCATCTGCAGATCACTTTGTAGTTTATGCTCTGTGACCCCAAAGAGAACAAAGGAAGTGACTGACTTTGGATGTGCCAAGAGCAATCAAGGTTCAACTACAGTAGGAAGATGTGCACAGCCTACACAGTGGGCCCACCTCGAGTACCCAGCTTGGGTAATAGGGGAGGCTGTGCCACTGGGCGCTACAGGACACCTATTTCATTAGGACACTTTACCAAGATATGGCGTCAAAGCAGCTATACCTAATACATAGAAACAAGCAAGGGAGGGTGCCAAAAGGAGGAGACAAGGAAACATGGCCCAAGTGAAAGAACAGAACAAAACTCCAGGAAAAAAAACCTAAACAAAAATGGACACATGCAGAGCTCAAAATACTGGTTATAAGGATTCTCAGTGAACTTAGGTGAGGTGCAAACCACTCAGAGAGAACTTCAACAGCATAAAAAAGGACATGAAAACCATTAAAAAGAGCCAGTTAGAAATGAAGAATATACTAACTGAAATAAAGAACTATTTACAGGGAATTAACAGTAGAGTGGATGAAGCCAAGGATCAAATCAGCAATTTGCCATATAAGGAAGCAAAAACCAACCAATCAGAACAAGAAGAAGAAAAAATAGAATTTAAAAAATGAAGATAGTAAGGAGCCTGTGGGATGACTACAAGTATACCAACATTCGCATCATGGTAGTGCTGGAAGGAGAAGAGAGAAAGCAAGAAATTGGAAATCAATTTGAAAATATAATGAAAGAACAGTTCCCTAACTTGCTGAAGAATATAGGCATACAAGTCCAGGTCCCAAACAAGATGAACTCAAAAAGGCCCACCCTAAGACAAATCATAATTAAAATGCCAAAGGTTAGAGATAAAGAGAGGATCTTAAAAGTAGCAATAGAAATGAAGTTAGTTATGTACGGGGGAGTTCCCATAAGACTGGCAGCTGATTTCTCAAAAGAAACATTGCGGACTAAAAGTGATTGGTAAGAAATATTCAGTGCGATGAAAACCAAGGACCTACGACTGAGATTACTCTTCCCAGCAAAGCTATCATCTAGAATTGAAGCATTGATCAAGAGCTTCCCAGGCAAGTTAGGGAAGGAGTACATCACCACAAAACCAGTATTAAATGAAATGTTAAAGGGTCTTCTTTGAGAAGAAGATTAAAAAAATATGAATAGTATAATAGTAAGAAATACATATCTATAAACAGTTGAATCAAAATAACAAACAAGCAGAAAAACAAAATAAAAAAACAAGCAGAACAGAAACAGAATCATATAGAAAACATTTTGATGGTTGCCAGATAGGAGGGGGATGGGTGAGTTGGGTGAAAAAAGTGAAGGGATTAAGAAGTACGAATTGGTAGTTACAGAGTAGTCATAGGGATGTAAAGTACAGCATAGGAAATGGAGTAGCCAAAGAACATGAAGGTATGACCCATAGACATAGACAACAGGGTGAGAATTGCCTGAGGAGGTAGGGGGTGGCTGGGTGGAGAAGGGCATGGGGGAAAATTGGGATCACTCTAATAGCATAGTCAATAAAATTTAATTTTTAAAAAATAGAAAATTGATCAGTATAATACATCACATTAACAGAATTAAAGAAAAAGGCCACAATTGATTCAGAAAAAGCTTTAGACAAAACTCAACACCATTTCAGTATAAAAAATTCAACAAACTAGGAATAGAATGAAAGTACTTCAACATAATAGACGTTTACAGCAATCGTTATACTCAGTGGTGAAAAAAACTGTTTTCTCTCTGATGAGGATGAAAGCAATGATACCTGCTTTCACTACTTCTCTTCTATTCACATAGTACTGAAAGTTCTAGCCAGAACAATTCAGCAAGAAAAAGAAATTTAAAGTCATCTAAATCGGAAAAGGGGAAAAATTATCTCTTTCTGCAGATGATGTGATCTTTTTTAAATTTAATTATGATCTTATATGTAGAAAACCCTAAGATTTTCTCTCTCTCTCTCACACACACATACACACACAAATAAACTATTACAATAAATGAATTCAGCAAAGTAACAATACAAAATCAGCATACAAAAATCATTTACATTTCTAATGCATGAGCAATGAACAATCTGAAAAGGAGATTACAAAAACAACTCCATATATAATAGCTCTAACGAACAAAACACTTAAGACTAACCAAGAAAATGAATGACTTTTTCACTAAAAACTCTAAAGCATTGCTAAAAGAAATTAAAGAGAATATAAGTAAATAGAAATATATTTCATGTTCATAGATTAGAAGACTTCATATTGTTAAAATGTCAGTATTACCCAAAGCAGTGTTTAGGTTCAATGTAGTCCCTATCAAAATGTCAATGACATTTTTTGTAGAAATGTTTAAGAAGCCATCATAAAATCCATACAGAATCTTAAGGTAACCTGAATAGCCAAAACAGCCTTGAAACAAGAGCAAAATCATAGAACTCACATTTCCTGATATTAAGATTCACTACAAAGTTATAGCAATCAAAACAGTATGGTATTTGCATAAACAGAGACAGATAGACCAATGAAATAGAATAGAGAGCCCAGAATAAACCCTCACATATAGGATCACATAATTGACAGATATGTAAAGATCATTTGATGAGGAAAGAATAATATTTTCAAGAGATAGTACTGAGAAAACTGGATATTTACATGCAAAAGAGAACAGTTAGATGCTTACCTGATACCATTTACAAAAATTAACTCAAAGTGAATGAAGGCCCTAAAAATAAGACATAGACATTTCTCCAAAGAGTATACAAATGGCCAACAAACACATGAAAATATTTTCGGCATCACTAGCCATTAGAGAAATGCTGCAATGAGATATCACCTCAAACCCATTAGAATGGCTACTATCAAAAAGAGAGAGAGAAATCAGCAAGTGTTGACAAAAATGTGGAAAAATTGGAAGGAACCCTTACACCCTGTTGGTAGGAATATAAAATGGTAAAGGTGCTGTAGAAAACAGTGTAGTGGTTCCTCTAAAATTTAAAAATAGAATTCCCATAAGATCCAGCAATTCCACTTCTGGGCATACACCCCAAAGAATTGAAAGCAAGTCTCAAAGAGGTATTTGTATGTCCATATTCATAACAGCATTCTTCACAATAGATAAAACATGAAAGCAACCCCAGTGTTCATCAGTGGATGAATAGATAAGGAAAATGTGATCTGTGCATATTATTCAGCCTTAAAAAGGGATGTTCTGTAACAAATACAACAGATAAGCCTTGAGGACATTATGCTAAGTGAAGCAAGGGAATCACTGGAAAGGAAATATTGTATAATTTCATTTACCTGAGTTTCTTAGAGTAGTCAAAACCATAGAGACAAAGGGTAGAACAGTAGTTTCCAGAGGCTTTCTGTTTAATGTGTATGGAGTTTCAACTATCCAGATGAAGATTTATGAGGATGGATGATTGTAAAGGTTGTGAAACCATGTGAAGTATTCAGTACCACTGAATTGTATGTTTAAAAATGGTTATAATGGTAAATATTTATTTTATTTTACTGTAATTTAAAAACTTTCCAAGAGAAAAAAATATATAAAAATATTTGTAAAACATTGCCTTGATTTTCTATATACATAGAGGTTTTTGTGTTTGAAATTCTTTAAATAGTATTTTGATTTATTTAAACAGATTATACCCAAAATTATAGGAGCTCACCTTGGTTATTTTCTGTATTTCTTGATTATAGAAATTATGTTCTTTGTTTTTCTTTAGTAATTTCTCTTGGTAGGACAGTCTAAAGAGGTGAATCATATTTAACTTTGTGTTGACTTTCACTTTCCTCAACCGCTATATTGAAACAGCCGTACTGTTTGCAAAGAAAGTAAGAGGAAGTAGTAAATAAAACTCTGATAGTATAATTTATTTCTAATGTTCTCCTTATGTTTTCAAAATGTGAATCCAAAACTATTTGGACCCTAAAACATTGTTCTTTTAAATCCAGTCCCAAATATTTTAGGTGGAGGAGAGCAGTTGTACAAAGCTGAAGTTTATTTTTTGAAATTCGAGTATAGCTTGACTTAAGTCTAAGGACAGACTGTCTTGATAAACATCAAGAAGGAAGAGTTTTCATATTTCATCTTTTTTAAAACAAGAATGTTAGGGAGGGTACACTTAAGAATTTTGGTATACCACCCAGTAAAGTATGTGATTGTTTAACCACTGTGCTGTCTGTCTGAAACTAACACAGAATAATATTGAATGTAAACAGTAATTGATAAATAAAAAAAATAAAAAGAATTTTAGCATGATTTAGGAGGGCATATGTATGTACAGATTTGAGACTGTACTTATATTGTGTTCTTATGTATGAATTTGAGTCAATATTAAAAACACGAAGTATTTTTTACTTTTTTCTTGCAATTTCTGTAGCGAGTTTATCTTGCAAAAATTCTTCTATAACAATCCTCACAGTAAGAAAGTTTATTTTAATATGGTTGACTCATTTCTTTAGCACCTCCAAAATTCTTGCCCATATCATCAACACCGCAGCCAGAGAGAAGGCAGCCACCCCAGAGGCGACATTCCATTGAAAAGGAAACACCTACTAATGTGAGACAGTTCCTGCCACCATCCAAACAGAGCTCCCGATCTCTTGTAAGTAACTAAAAGATTGCATAGTAACCAAAGTGTCAGAGGACCTAGAATCATTAGCATTATTGAGATGATGATTAGGAGAAAAAACTTCCAAAGGTTAGAACGATTTTTAAATAACCTTCATTGTTTTTAATAGCTAAAGAAAACCACTCTAACAGGAACCTAAATGAAATTTGACCATCTTTGTTCATTTAAAGTACCTTTATTTTTTTTTCAGAAGACTTACCAATGGTTGAAACTATGGATTAGTAAAGAAATGTTTTCTTCCTTTCAAAGGGTATTAAAAATTGTTAAAACTAATTAAAAAACTTATCAAAAATTGTTAAAAGTAATTTAAAAACTTCTCAAAATCTGGCTACAGTAAGCTATGTTATTAAGGCAGAAGTACCAGAGGAGAATTTTGATCCATTAAGAACCATTATTTATATTGTTTCCAAGTATATTTTGGAGCCAAAGCTGCTGTTTGGACTGGTTGACAGTTTTTGCTGTTTTCAGGAGACTTTTGCATTCATGTAGTGGCCATTCATTCCTCAAAACAGCAGGCTGTAGGACACATGGCAGTGGCAGGAAGAGTAGATCCACCAGCCGGAGGAGGTCTGTAGTTTATTTTGTAGCCCTGCTTGACTCCAGGAACATTTCCAGGCAAGATACAAGGCTTCAATCAATAGTTCTACTGGCAACCTAACATCTAATGTTATTTTCAGTAACTCATGAATAAAAAACAGTAGAATATGCTTAATCCATATTTTTAGGCTGTGATGAATCATTCAGAGTAGAGGGAGATAGTGTGATTATTGTGAAGATATTAAGTTTCAACAGAGCTTATGGTTTTGAAATTTGATCAGTCATCTCTCCTCCCAAACAATAGGATTAAATTAATGATTTTATGGCAATTCCCAATAAAATTTCTGTTAATTCATAAGTAATCACCGAAACACTGATATTTGATAAAACATAGCAGGAAAACAGAACTCTAACCAGACAGGTTCAGACTTTAAAATCTGAAGACTTTTGTTAATTTGAATCAGTTATTGCTTTAGCAAAATATACAGTTACTGTCCCAACTTAAAAATACATAAGAAGGAACTCTTCCTAATTTTTTTTTACAAGTCCAGTAATTAAATTCTTCTCTTCCCATGGGTTTTCCTAGCCAGTTTATTATTTAGGTATGTACCTGCCTTGTTATCATAAAACATCATCATTGAGGTTAGACTTAAATTTTAAAATTATCAATCAACTATCAGATCAACTACAAAGGAGTTTCAGGTGGTACTAGAGCAGTTTTGCCAAGAAAGACTGCCAGTCCCTATTGAGGGCCCATGAAGTAAAGTAAATTCCTGGCAAAAGGGAACTCATCATTTGGTTGGTCAGGCTGTTGAGTTGGTTTATTAGTGAAGAGAGCAAAGTAAAACCAATCTGCAGTCCCCAAGAAGGGTCTCAGTGAAAGGCACTGGGTGAGCACCTCTGGTCAGTATAGATGGTAACAGGTTTCATGCAGAACTGGGCCCCAAGTACCTCTGGGCACCAGCTGAAACAAAGTAACATCCAAGTCAAGTAATGACATTTTTTGCTAGTAGATTAACTCAGTTTATCCATTAAGTGACGCTTCTGTGTGTAGTACCTTCTAGCTTGTTAAGTATTGTTTTTAAAGTATGATAATTTAAAATTTTTGCTATATTTTAGAAACAGAATCATTTTGTATTTGTAATCCCTTTACTGAAAATGGTGGAAATGTCTTTGTTGTTATTTACTTATTTTGATTGTATCTCTCTCCCTTTGTTTAGGGTGTTTAAAAATGTAATTTTTTTATCATGTGGTCAAATGTACGAGGATGATTGCCCATTTAAATGAAAGGCTGCTTGTCTTTCAGTACCTCCCTTAGGGAAGAAGTGCCTGTTTGGGATGCGTTCCCACGTTCTCTCAGGCACAGCAGGCAGTTGGCCCTATCCTGCATCCCATCAAGCCTGATTTAGGAAGCTCAGTGTTCCTAACCAGTTAGAAAATCTTAAGTTCAGGCCTTTGCTGTGTAAACTTTGAGATTCTCAAGGAGCGACTTCATGGTTTGATTATCGATTTATACACGGGGATGCAGATGTCGGCGTGAATACATGTGTGGAATCTACCATTAACATCCTGTGTGTTTTTGTTTTGTTTCGTTTTGTTTTTCATGCTCTATAATCACTATTTGTAGGTCACTTTTGTTCTGTATTGTTTTCTCCTTTTCTTTTCCCACTGCCATTTTCTTTTTTCCTTATATATTGTTCAGGTTCCTAGGATAACCAGTGTATGGCCAAGGACGCCTTTCCGACCACTTTTTTCTACCATACAAACAGCTTCTCTGCTCAGCTCTCATCCTTTTGAAGCAGCCATGTTTGGGGTAGCAGGGGCTATGTATTATCTATGTGAGAGAGCTTTTACCAGCAGGTGGAAATCCTCAAAGGTTGGCCTCTTTCTGCTGGCTCTGGGAATTATTTTACTCTATCTCTTTGACAGTGATACCTCAACTTCTGCACTCTGCAAGAATTAACAGCTTAGATGGGCACTTTGCTTCTGATCATTGATTCCAATCTTTTGTAGGATGCATAGATCGCACCATGATCTCAGTTGAGAGGAAAATAACTTTGAAAGGACAACAAACTCAAAATGCAGCATCAGAATATAGGGACCTATGAGTGTTTGTCTCTGAGTGACCCAATTTTATAGCAGGAGGAATGCAGCCTCTTAGAGCCTGTGAAGTGCTTTCATCCCAGGGCCTCCTTTCATCAGAGGAGCATTTGCTACCTGCCAGGCTAAGTTGACTCTACCACCCACAGAGCCATTGCCTGTGTCCCGCACACGCCACCCTGAGCTTTGAGGGGCTGTGTACACATAGCATGTGTCTACCCTGGACTCAGAGAGCATTCTCTTCCCCAGCACCTTTCATAAAGCTGTGTTGTGATGATCAGGGTATCATGTGGTTTTTATGACAACCACTTCTCTGTGGAGAGAAACTTTAAGTTTTCTTTTTACTGATGTGATTATTTTAAATATTTTATTTTATCTTTTTTATTAAATTCATTGGGGTGACAGTGGTTAATAATATAGAGGTTTCAGGTGTATACATCTATAATGTATTATCTATTATTTTAAATAATCTTACATTTTATTTTTGTTTTTGTGGTTTTCATATAGAATATTTTTAAAGAAAGTATAATAATTTCCAAACCCCAGTGAAATAAATAGCCCTGGGACCATAGTGAAGCTTCCTTTACCTCAGTGTGATGTATGCTGTTGACCAGTGTTGGCAGCAGCCTTGCCCGTTCCATGTCATACAGGATCCTTCATTTACTAAACACATCTCTGACAAATGAACCAGCAGCTAGTTTCTTTGGTATTCTTTATTACCCATCTTGATTTAGAAAAGAAACTGTGAATGAATGTAAATGAGAAACAACAAATCCCTTTCCCTGTTTATTGTGAAATACAGAATAAGTCTGATCTTGTCCCCATTTTTAGGTCTGGCCATTTGGGAGCACCACCAAGTGCAGGGAGGGCATCTGAATTCCTGTCACTCCTGCTATTACTGAAGATCTATCAACAATTTTATTTTTATTATCAATCCTCCCCAAACACAGATATCTGTATACTAAATCCTCATACTATTTTAGGCAAAGAATTCACTTGGTATTTTAAAGTTAAACTTGGAAAAAGGAAAGAGTAATTAAACTTAATAATTGCTATTTTTATGTAAAAAGTTTAAAAATTCAAAAAACAATTATTGTTTTGGACAGCTTCTAAGTATCTGCTACTTATTTATGAAGTATGTGCTAATCAAGAACACGATATAAAATGTGACTATTCCCATTTCTCGCTGTGGCTCAATAATCAGATTACACATTTTGCTCTATAATTTCTGTGCTACCTAACTCTGACCCCTGTTGAATGGTAAATATAAGCAAAATCTTCAACAAAAACTTCGTGATTTTAGTGACATACATAAAAATAAATTCTAAAGGCACATTGGCTTCTATTGCGTATTGTAATCATTATCAAAACACTGTAAGATTTAGCGTCCCTTTCCTAAATTTGAGAGTCATTTTGAAGCACAGAGAAGCAAAAGAATTAGAGTTGTGCTGATCTAGCCCTTACAGTCTACATCTCACCCTGACAGTGAGCTTAGTGCTTGCTGTAGGAGTGACCCAACCCTGGGTCACCATGGGGAAAGGGGCACTTGCTCATGGTTAAAACCCTGAGTGCTCCTTACGTTTTGGAGCGTTAGTGTCTCAGCAAGATTTATTAAGATTTCATTTGGCTTTGGGGATGCCGAATCAATATTTTTGTCAGTTAATAAAAACTATTCTAGTAACTATTATTTTCTTTCATGTTGCATTAAAGTTTTGTTGTCCTTGGGAAAGCACCAAAATTAAAACATTAGCATTTGTCCTGATGGAAATTATCTTACTGAAGGGTAATTACTTGAAATTTTTTTAAAGAAAAAGAACACAAACAAAAAATCCACAATTTCTTACTATATTCTGTGAAGTACTGGATTTACATATGATTCAAAGCAGTCAGTTGGAAGTATGCTGGACTAAGCCCTGTGTGATTTAAGACTGAGGAGAGAGTACAGAAATATTTACCAGCCCAGGCATCAAGTTACCAAGTTAATTAAATTGGTGCTAATTGCCCTCTTCCTAGCATTCACAACAATAAACCTCAGTAGTGATTATCAGGTTATTTGCTAGATTTATACATTATTTTGCTCCAAGTCAACAATTTTGTCAGAGTTAGCTGCCATAAAATGTACCACAGTCATAATCATCATAACTGATGAATGAAATTTGCCATAAGAAAAATTCTATGAAATATATTTAGGGCTCAAAAAAGCTGTCATTCAGTTCTGTACAGCCAACAGTGCTTACCTTGTGCAGTTTTAATGGCCTTAGAGTCAGTGCCTCGTCCCATTTGACACTAAACTCTTTTCTCAGGATGAAGCAAAACAGAGTAGATATTGGACATGCCAGTTTAATCCTGTTATCATTTAAAGCTGCTCTATTGAAGGAGAAAATTATGTGATGGTGATATTTTTTAAAGGATTTTAGACATCTTAGACTAAATTATGTAATGTCTCTGAATAGTCTACCTTCCCAGCCTCCAAATACTAAGTTCTTCATCTTAAAAATTCAACTGCAGGATTTTTTTCCCAAAACATTTTTGAGCACACTTAATCTTCCTTAACCCGAATAAAGACAGTTTGGTTACACTGTTGGTGAAAATCAGTAGTTCTTCAAACTACATTTTTTAGTAAATGCTAATGTTTGTCAAGTTTGCAACCTAGATTTGTTTTTATTTTTATCTGATTGAAAGACAGAACTGAATGTTAAAACTGCATTCATAGTCATGTGCTTTCTCAATTGGCTTGTTTGATTCCAGAACTCCTGTGAGCAGTGCTATTGTGTGTGTGTGGGAGTGAATTATAATGTGTTTGTATTGAGAACATTAAGTTTCAGTGTCACTACATCACAATGGCCCTTGTGAAGCCTGGCAGGGTGCGAATGCACAAGACTGTTCTGTCTTTCTGTTAGATCCACCAATCAAGAGCAGGCTGGATGGGGAGCAAATGGGTGTGAGGCTCTTTATTCAGTGGAATCAGTTACATCAACATCTTAGGGAAACTATTAACATAAGATACTCAACATAAATATTTATTGTGAAATTCTTCTGATTTTTTCCACATCTTTCCAATGCTGATTGTGCATTCAGTCATTGTTTAAAAGTAATAACAGAAATCTGGAGAACTGTGGGACAGCCTGTGGAGTTTCTGTTGGCTGTAAACTGCAACAGTAGCTACATGTTCTAGCTCCTATCATACCATTAGGATTTTTCAAGGTGTGCTGATGTAACTTACCACTATGCTTCTCAGTGTAAATTACTAACCACCTTCTTTTGGCTATTCTGGGTACCACAGACCAGTTTTAAAAATATGTTGTTGATTTTCATATAGCATATAACACAATACTAAATGATATCTTTGCATAATCATAGGAGACAACTGACATAAATTTGGTTTAGAACAACAAAATGTTTTTCAAGATTTCAGTGCGTAGATACATAGCCAAACAAATGTGAGGAGCTTTTATTTTTTGGAAACTTAAGTAGGCTACACTGTTTTATGTGGTCCTCAAAGCTTTCTACCATCTGTTGTCTTGGTGTCATCAGAAATTATGTGGTCCCCAGAGTAAGCCAGCTCTGTTCCTGTGTTGATTGGGACCTCTTTCGTTTTCTGAAGCTACTAACCAGGTGTCTGATCTGAAGGGAAATACTACAATGCCAGAAAAGGGAGTGGGAGTTTCTTATTCATGTGGAATTTTGAATTTCAGGAGGAATTCTGCTATCCAGTGGAATGCCTAGCTCTTACTGTGGAGGAAGTGATGCATATTCGTCAGGTCCTGGTGAAGGCAGAGCTGGAAAAATACCAACAATATAAAGATGTCTACACTGCCCTGAAAAAAGGAAAGGTAGAGCTGTTTAAAGTTGATTGATCAGCAGGGTTAGCAGAATGGTCAGTCACAGGCATGGTCTTCTGAGGAAGCTTTCTGCTATTCAGATGGTGCAGGACCTACAGGGGATTTTAGATGGCAGGAGGCTTATTCTCCAGAATTCATTTCCTGTTCTGCCTTGCCCACCAAAGCAAGTATTTTCTCCCTTAGACATCAAAACTCAGGAAGGTTTAAAACAACCATAATAAATAATGATATGCCTTCACATAGCCATGTCAGCATTTAGTCATTATACAGGGGAGACTTTTTTAGAACCTTCTTTTGATTGCTTCTGTGATGGTGACACTCTAGACAGCTGTGGCCTTTTGTTACTTTTAAAAGTAGAATTATAGTACAGAATCATACTGTAATTATCAACAGAGCCCAACATAAATCAGGGCTTCTGGATTCACTTCTTCCTCCTGTGTACTAAACTTCCCCAGTGTATAAATGTAAAGTGGATTCAACCATATAAACTAGGAAATTCATTGTCGGCGATGCTTTTTCTTTCTCCTTTTACATTTGTATTTTTTAGCTTTGCTTTTGTTGCCGAACCAGGAGATTTTCCTTCTTCACCTGGTCTTACACCTGTCAGTTCTGTAAGAGGTAAGGCTCTTTGTAATTGACAATAATAGTCAATAAATATCAGTTAGCTTCATTGTTTCATTGTTTTGTATGCAGGAACAATATTAAAAATTATTTGTTATCCCATTGTGCTGTGTTTGTGGGTTAAGAATACTGATCCACTGAATTTTTCAAGACAGTGGATCAAAGTTATTGGGCGTTAAACCTGAAACATGTTTCTGTGCATTTATTTCTTTTACATAACCAAGATAATTCTAATATGTCATATTTGAACATAAAAAATAGATGCGATTGTCATATGACCCTTGGATAGACAAATAAGAAAATTCCAGGTGTAAGTTGATTCTTTTCATAGGGAACAGTGTAAGAATTCAGTTTTACAGATTGATTATCTTTTTGGCAATCCATAGTTATATCAGTTTGTTGTATCCTGACAGAAGATCCAGATTTTTTGCAATTTATTGTAGAAATTTACAACCATGTAGCCATTGGCCTTGTTAACTCTCTAGTCACATCGGTGGTATCATGCCAAGTAATGCTTCTGGTTTTGTGTACAGGCCCGTGTGCTCACAGTGTTGCAAAAAGGTAAGCTAAGCTTGGTGAAATGTTAACATAATAATTTTAACAGACTGTCTTTTTAATAGTACTGCTCATTCTCAGTTTTCTTTGGGTAATAGATGCGGCTGCCATCCAAGCCATACTCCACTCTTCCTATCTTCTCATTGGGACCTTCTTCCTTGCAAAGAGGGGAAAGTTCTACGAGGCCAGAAAATCCCTCCACTAGCCACCATCGGCCACTTCGGAGCATTGCCAGGTGAGCGAGAAGGCTGGATCTTCAGAGCATCCTTTGTAAAAGAAGAATGCTCCTTTTGAAGACCGGATGATAGGGCAAGGTTTTGGGTCAAGAAGATTGGTGGTATTTGGTTGGTTTTAATATAGTTTTGACTTGCACACAAATCTCCAAAACTTCCAGAAGGTTACTTGTCAAGAATAATGGTTAGCTGCTTGAAGGATACCTTACTCTCACAGTTTATTTTTATTTCTATTTAGATATAATTACTTTTATATATCCTTTAAGTTATCTCTAAATCTGCTCTTGTTTTCAATGGAGTTGAAAACTTGCATATGATAGTCTAATCTTTCCTTCTTCAGTTTTGAAAGAATATTTGTTTAATTCTGTGCTCACAGTGGTCTGCAATTTAGTTTCTTATTGTAAAGGCAGTAATGAAGCTTTATGCCAAGAGCTGGCAATATAAAAGAAAAATATATATAGCCTGGATATCAATCTATTTGCATTCAATGCAGGGTAAGATTGGTGCTGGTCCTTAAGAAAGATGGAAGGATAGCAGGCCAGCTCAGGTCACACACTTTCAGGGCCCAGGATGATCAAGGTTTGATGCACTAACCACCTACTGGAGATGAGGGGGGTGGGGTAGACACTGGCATTGGTGCCAAATGCCGGGCAGCAGCTGCTCCTTAGGTCAGTGAGGCAAGGAAGCTGTGAGTCCAGCAAGTAACTTGGGCCCAAGACTGCTTGTCCTGTGCCTTCAACTCTGCTCTGAGACACTCCTGCTCCATGAAGACCTCAAATCATGATTTGTGGACTCAAGGCAGTGCAAATAATAATCTTTTGTCCTTTTCTCTACTTACTCTGAGACTTCCTGTTTGGTTTACTTAAAATGGTAAGGTCAATAAGTGATTCCTAAGGTGAATAACTGATTCCTTAAAATGGTAAGGTGAATAAGTGAAAAAGTAACCAAAAGATTTATTATGATGTTGTTTTAGTTAACTCCAGCTCTCTGGAATCCAGATAATCATCCATGCAAATATAGAGAATCGTTGGGGAAACATACTTGACAAATACAGAAGTTAGAAGAAAATTGGTCCAAAGATAATTTTTAAGAATGTATCATAGAGATAAATTTACTTCAATTTCCTATAGTCTGACCTACCATGTACAGATAACTAATGTTTATTATCCATGACATGGGATCACTGGAGAAAGAACTTGAAATCCATTCTGAGTTATCAACAGGACATTAGCAACATGTACTTTATTTCATCTTAGTTGTTAAAGTTCATAATCTATATGTGTATGATAATCATATGATGACTACTCTGAATATCCTATCTTCTAAAAATTCTAGAAGAGATGCTAAGAATTTTCAGTATTATTTCTTAATAAAACATGTTTCCTGGCTTCTCTTTTAAAAAATACTTCGAACCTTGCCTCCAATTAGAAATTCTTCTTTGGAAGAACACAATACAACTAAATCATTCATCATTCCATAATGTTTTTGCAACAAATTTTCTTAGTATTGCAGTAGTACTATGAGTAATAGTACTAGATGTTTGAAATGTTTGTTTTTTTCCAGGTTTTCCTCAAAATCTAAGTCTGTGGACAAATCAGATGAAGAACTACAATTTCCCAAAGAGTTAATGGAGGACTGGAGTACCATGGAGGTGTGTGTAGACTGCAAAAAATTTATTTCAGAAATCATCAGTTCAAGCCGGCGTAGCCTGGTGTTGGCCAACAAAAGAGCCCGATTAAAAAGGAAAACACAGTCTTTCTATATGTCCTCATCAGGCCCCTCGGAATACTGCCCTTCAGAGAGGACTATCAATGAAATCTGAGCCCTGTGCCTTTCAATTGCTTTTGTGTTCAGAGTCAGCATTAGCGAGGGAGAACACTAGGCTGGACTGTCTCTCCTTGCTGTGGCTTTAGTTAATAGGCTTGATTTGCATTAGATCAGGTTTTTTGCTACATCAAATTGTTCCACAGACTGAATGCTATGTTCATATCAATTGATGATATGTGACAGGTTAGCCAGTTTGCTCATTTGCACTGAGAGGACAATAGTTTGAAACTTGCCTTTATGGGTGTGTAGATTTGGAGTCCAGAAGCTTTTTCCTTAGTTCAATTCCTTACTGTTCCCCAGATAATTTTCCGACTAAGGCAAAAAGCTTCTAATATGAGAAATCAGCCTACAAAGGTGTCGATGTTAGCACAGTTCTAAGCAGTAAGTCATATTGGCACTTCCACCTGACAGTGTTCCTATCTAATGTACATAGTAATCCGGAGCTCTGCCTCACACCAGATATCTGGGGGTGGGGGCCAAGCTATTTTTCATCTCAGCACAAAACCTAGAAGGATTTGCTCATACTATCAAACTGATTTTTAAATTGTTGCTCTGAGATAAAGACTATGGGAGGGACTTTATGCCTACATTTTAGTGTAAAACATCTGAATAAGCTGTACATCCAAGTGGGTGATCATTTCCTCTGAGCTGCTGTGTTTGCCCTGGTGCAATGGATCAGTATCTCCTGAGTGGGTGACAGATTCTCATTCCCTATCTTGCATGTATTATGGTTATTTGTAGTTTTATAATGGAAGTTTAAAAATTAAAAGTTTTGTGGGAATTTCCAGTCCAAGGAAGACTAACCTTTTGTCAATAGGTTGAGTGTGTTTCAGTTAACTACATAAAGGGTCTTAACAGTAGAGGGGCCAGCTACTGCCTACACTGTGGGGCATGAGCTGGAGCCCATATATTTTCAGCCACATTTTTCATAACTTTACAGTCTAGCCATCATGACTAAATCAAGTCACAATTTGGTAGGTATGGTCTCAAACTAAAATATATTTATTTTTATAAATGAATTTTAAAAGAAAAAATATTATCTAGTTCTTTTAAAATTACAAGATAATTAACCTGTTGATAGTCTTTTGGATGCTTTTTGCACAATTTTTCTTGGAAACAAGTTGAGTGAGTAGGATGGGTTTTTGATAAAGGTAGGTTGGAGGATAGCATTGTATACCTGAAATTTCTAAGCTTGTTTGGCCCATACCATGGACTATACTTTATTATTTTGGTATGCTTAGAAATGACCAACCAATCAAATTGCCATTAATGTTTGAAAAATCATTAATGCACATGCACAAATAATTTTCTAAAAGCTATAGGGCATGTCCATAGTCAACGATATGACAACACCATTTACTACAAGGCAGGGCAGTCACATATCATACAACATCAAAATATAAATTTCCACTTCTCACTCACCTGTAATTTAAATTTCCATTTTAAATTATTAGCGATACCTCAAAACTGCTCTGGTAGTAGTTTTTAATGGATTGAAATTTACAGTTTAGTAAATGGTTTAAAATTACTTATACTTATGAAATAAACTTTACTGATCGCCTAAAATAATGCATGTTAACAGTTTGTCTATATTTGCATGTAAAGGTGGGCCACCAGAAAACCCTTATTTTTTATGCAAATGTTTAAATTATTTTAAAGACTCTTGTTTAAAAGTGTTAAACATTTATATCAGGTGGAATCTATTTAAACTCTCTACTCCAGATGGTAGAGAGGTTGAAGGCCCAGGCCTGAGCCTTCAAACGACTTCCAAGGAAAGGTGCAAGGCAGAGGGAATGGTATTTAAAGTACCAGAGATAGTGTGCTTTTTTAAATGGTGACTAGTTCAGTGTTGTTGTATAAAATAAACATAAGAAACTAAACCCCCAAAATGAGAATTTCATCCACATTCATAAAGCAAATATCTAGCACTTGGTTTTTTCCAGGCTTTCAAAATCTAAGTCTGTGAACAAATCTTTGGCTTCTCTTCTTCATTTAGGTTGATTTGGGCATTATGATCACCTCTTATCAGAGATTTACAATGTAAATTCTTCAACATCATTGGTTTGCCAAGTGTATTAAAGAGGTCACATGGATGGTATATTTGCCTGAGATAAATTACAGAAAGTAGTGTAAGAAAAGGGCACATGGCATAGTTAAAATTATAGAAATCAAATTAACATCACTTTTGGTTGCCAAAATAATTTCTTAGATTTAACTGTTTCTTATCCATGACATACCAAACACCTCAACTAAATTAGGTAATTCCAGAGTAATTCATTAATATCTTGTAGAGTATGGGTTTACAATCCCTAGCCTGACCTTAGGTCTGTCTTCCTCTTTATACTACTGAAATAACATACCTTTACAGTGTTCCTCTTTATCGTGGTTTCCAGCTATTTGACATTTACTTCTGATCTAACAACAACAAAATTGTTGTCTAACTGCTTTCAGTTGGAGCCTGATGTGTCATAGACCTCATATGTACACCTGAGCAGTCCTCCCTGTGCACATCCCTGAACGCTTACCCTGATCCCTCCATGCTCAAGCATCTACTCATTGCTTTTGTCCCATACACCTCGTGAACTCACCCTGTTGGGATATCTTTGTTTTCTTCCCCATGGCTTAACTTTCTATCAGTGTCAGAGTAGATAAGAAGGCTTACAAATACTGTAATATATTTATTAATATTTGAAAGGCATTCATTCAGTGGACAATGGAAATTTACTCTCCCAAGGCAAATAAAAATTAAATCAAATAATTGCTATGTATAATACATTGACTTAATAGTCTTACTTGAGTTCAAATCTTAAGCCTTTCAAATTAAACTAGGTTTCTTATGTGTAAGAATTTTTTTAATGATCTTACATTTGAAAAGATTATGTGATTAGCACCGTGAACTCATACCAGGAATTTTTAAGGCTTTTATTTTTCTAACTGTATTAATAAATATAAGCATGGATTTTAGGTATCACATAGGGGACATGAAAGTTTTAAATTATGTTGCTATTTGCTAAAGCAAAATAGCAGGAAATTTTGTACATGCAAAGCTGTTGAAAGGCCACGGAGAAATGTAAATACTGACTGGACTTTGACCTTGCCTCCTGCAAGCATAAAAGACAAGGTGTTGCTGGCATTCAGGGTGGCATGATGGTACTAAAAGTTTTCCATTAAAATCTTTTATTTTAAAATTTAGGGAAAAATAAAATGGCTTTTCATCATATCTTCTGTGTCGAGTTTCTATTGTAAAACGATATTGTCTTTTGGTAACTAGCTGTCAACAACCACCTACGCTGAGAAGGCAAGATACTTTTATTACCAGCACCTTATGATCAGTTTGAGAAATGCAAACTAACAAGGACCACATTGGAAAAATAAACAAAAATAAAGCCTCCAAAATAACTGCTATGCTACCAAGTAGTCATGAGTCCTTTTTTACCTTAGCAACACGTGAATTAAAATTTTATAAACATTTTATTATATAAGAAGCTGTATATATGTAGCCCTGGCTGGTGTGGCTTAGTGTATTGAGTGGCAGCCTGCAAACCAGAGGGTTGTTGGTTCAATTCCCAGTCAGGGCACATGCCTGGGTTGCCAGCCAGGTTCCTCAGTGTAGGGTGCAGGAGAGGCAACCACACATAGATGTTTCTCTCCTCTTTCTCCCTTCTCCTATCTCTAAAAATAAATAAAGTCTAAAAAAATTTAAAAGAAGCTGTATATATGTAGACAAATTATATCATAGAAAGATGATAAAGCTTATATGTTTTTTAAATAGAATTCCTCAAGGGACATATTCCTAAAATGTCCCATGATAAGAAAACTTCTTGTTATGGCCCTTTAGTTGCTTGAGAAAAAATTTAAAAGATCAAACCCAGAAATGAAACTTGAGAAAGTTATGTTTTAATGTTAACTAAATAGAGAGCATCAGTTAAGGTATTTACATGTCTTAAATATTACATGATACTGAGTTTGATATGCATATACACAAGCTACTTATTTGCCAGACATATTTTAGGAACTCCTTCTGTTACAGGGTGCAGCCAAGAGGTGGGCCCAAAATAGGGATTTGGAATGGGGTTCAGAACTCGAGGTGTCCAGGAAATACTAGAAAGAGATATAGGATGTCCTCAGCTCCCTTCTAACTCCTCAACCCCCGCCACAAGTGTGAGTTGGGGGAAGGGACACATGGAGCAGGGCCATTTAGAGCTGTTTCGCATAGCAACAGCTTTGCAGCTAACCTCTGGCATGGTCATTTAACACATCTATAATCTTTAACTGGTTTCATAGTTATATTCAATAGCTGTGGCCATGCTTTGAGCCAGGGGGATAGAAGGGACTTCCACCCAAGATATAACTGGGAGGCAATGCCCCCTGGTTACAACACCTGTGTGAGAGCTTGGAGATGATTGTCTCTGTGCTATGGGGCCACACCTGCCCAGACTCAGTATGGCAGCCCAGTAAATCTGGAAGGATACAGGAATGCTGGCAGGTGTAACTAATTGTAGGAGGAGTCGGAAAAGGAGGGTTGGGGCTGCAGAGGAAGGCTGGCGCGGGGATTTAAACTGAGATGTGGCAGCCATTTAAGGGAGAACCACAAGATTTGGCCAGAGTGGGGACCCCCACAGCTTTGGCAGAGGAGAGAACCGCCCAGCTTCAGGGTGCTCCCTTTTGCCACGTGGCTTAGGAAGCAGGAGAGGCTTGGCCTGGAAGGAAAGGAGTGAAGGGACTCTTGCTGGTGGGCCATGAGAAGGTGCCACATGGCTTTGGATTAACTGGAGATACTGGCAGCAACACAGCTGATGGTGCCGGGAGCTTTCATCACAGACTTCTGCTTCTTTTCCTGAGATATGGCACCCAGACTAGGGCAGAGGGAGAAGGGAGGACTGTGTGCATCTGTGGGTATTCTGAAGGACTTCGATATTTTAATGAAGACATTAGGTCACTACTTTAAGTCTGTATAGCTTTAAATAAATATTTCCTTTCCTTTTCACAAATCTCTGGCATTGAGAGAAGTCTTTCCTTGGTGGCGGGCATAGGAAACCAGGGGGATCCTTTTGGTAATAATATAGCATACCCACCCTTGGCCCCGTTCTGTAACACTGCCACTGAAGTTTCTTTGTGAGATGTTTGTGTGTGTACAGCTCATAATCCAAATATTTACTGACTTTCTCAGTCTAAGAGTTCTTGCTTCATGCCCCCTTGGATACAGAAAATCCAGATACCATAAAAGGGAAAGCTCTGGATAAATTTTATTAAACTATTATGGGAGACTGTTCTGCGTGTTATGGGCCCAGACAGGACCCACACCCATGGGCAAGTTCTCCCATGGGGAATCAGGCCTGCATTGTACCTAGACTGCTGTGAGACTTGCTTTTGTTAAAACTCCCTCACCCTGAATTGAGGCAGGAAGTGCTTACTGTAACTTCCTAAAGTCTGTGCTAAACCTTCCAAGGACTAGTGTAACCAGTTCAACCACTTTTCCCTTTGCATTTGCAAATATCCTTCTTCTGTGGTGTGATTAGCAGCATCCTCTCCTTTGTTTTCTGTAAAAGGTAACCACCTAAAGTGAACCTGTGCATAGTAAATGAGGACCATCATGTAATGTGCCTAGAAAAACAAGCAAAGTCTGTGAAGGCAAGGCTCTCCCCTTGAGAGAGAAGCTGCGTTGTCTCGTGTCTCATCCACAATGTCGTAGACCCCACAAGCAGGGATCCACATCAAACTATATCTTTCTTTTTCCTTCTAAGCTCCAGCGAAGGAAAAATATGCAGTTGTAAATCATCATTGTCTAGAATTTCATAGAGAACCGCTTCTAGGAAAGGGCTTGACTGCACATATGATGTGTTAAGAAACTCCAGTTCTGCTACTTCTACAGAATGTTCAGGCACAAACACACACATACACAGACATTCATTATAAAGCTTATAAAGGTTATGCTGCTGCTTCCCTCGTGTCAGCCAAAGGCTCATGACTAGAAACATCCACCAAAAATCTTCAATAGCCAAGAAACCACTTAACATAAAACTCTGCATATACTAATTAAGTGATTAGGTGTGATTACCTCAGACTGAATTTGCACTATTCTGGCTTATTCTATTAAAATGTATGTAATGTATAATTGATGTATTTAGAATAGATCTTACTGTGCAATAAAAATTCTGCAGCTGTTTCTGTATGAGGCTGCTTGCAAAATCTGAACCACTATAGTATTAATGAAGCAGTGGAAGTAAAAAGACTTCAGGACTTTCAGGACATAGCTCTTGAGAAATGGGTTTTGGAAAATGAGACATCAAGAAGTTGCTTTTGTGCCTGGTGCTTAAGAACTGCAGAAGCATCTTTATGTTTGAACCTATGCCATCCATGTTCAACACAACTCAGTGTTCGTATTTCGTTTCCACCCAGAGGGCCAGACACCATCAGTTGTGTATTAAAAATGCTCTTGCAAACTGCTCTAATAAATATGATTCTTTATGAATTGAAGAAGAGGAACAACTCCATTTCGCTTAGGTGTGGCTGGCAAGGAGGGACACACTTGCTCAAGTTGCTCACTTGAAGTTTGCCCATCTATATATTCTTTTTTGCTTTGCTGTTCCCTCGTAAGTGCAAGAATTGTCTCTCAGTTCCTGACCTCCCTCCCTCCTGGTCCTTTCCCTAGAGTGACAGCAGAGAATGTCACATCCCAGCTCTTCCCAGGAGCAGCAGTGTTTAAGAAAGTAGAAATGTCATAGAGGATTTGAGGATTTCTGTAGAGCTAAGCTGAATATCAAGTTCCTAAGCAAATGGTATCAACACTGTAGGGAAACATGGGAGAAAGAACGAGCAGCAAGATTCTGCACAGGTAAATTCTTCTAAACAGTGTGGCTGCTGCTGTATAGAATCTTTTCCTAGACATTGCAAAGAAAAAAAAAAGGCCTTTCACCTTGCCCACCAAAGAAGGTGACATGAGGTAAAAAGCCCCTTGGATCATCCTTCCACAATCCAAGGTTGTTTCAGAAGTCAAATTCACAGAAGAGAAGTTTGGATGAAGCACTGTAGTGTAACTGGCTTAGAGCATCCTACCTCTAAGTGACTCCTATGACAGACACCTAAAATTTCCTCTCTATGAAGCCAGTGGCAGACATAACTTCTATTATAAAAACTGGTCCTCTCTGTTCCAAAACGGTACTCCCTAGCAAACGAACACTTTTTTTTTAGGACCCAGGAGCTTTCATCCTGATAACTGAAAAAAACTACACTATAGTTCACAAGGTAGATTCTTTCAGCACTATACCTGGTTTCAAGTATCTAAAATGGTTCTAACTAAATTATGCTCCAGTTTGGCAGCAAAAGGGCTATCTGGCATTGGGGAAGTTCCTTAACATTTCTGGATTTCAGTTTCTTAAAGTTTAAAGCAAGGGTGTTAGACAAGGTGGTCTCTTAAGATCACTCTTTTTCTAAACAGTATTTGTGTTGATGATGAACCTAATTATGTATATTACATGAATGCAAGAAAAAGTACAGAACAAAATATGCTACATTTATTTGAAACAGGAAGGCAAATTAAATTTTACTAATTATTATAAAGAACCTGAGTTCATTTCTCAAAATTAAAAAGAAAAACTAGAGAAACATGAGTTGACATATATTAAAAACAAAAACAAACAAATCCTTTGCACAAGCTATTTTGTATCAGCAACTCCTGATTACTGGTGGTTCATCTCCCAACCCCACGTGAAAGTCTTTGATTGGCAAGTCTTTGTTCCCATAATGTGATGTGAAGAGAAGTGAATAGCTGTAGGAGCAACTACATGTAACATACTGATTTAATTGCATCAAAAGGAAACAAAAATACAGACAACTCATTGTCCAGCTTGATATAAGAATTACCAGAGTCCCCAATAGATACACCTCCCAGGGTAGTAATAGGATTCCCAGTGAAGAAGTTTGCCTTAAACCCTATTACTGCCTGGGGTCTTTTTCACCAAATTTGATCTCTACTTTTCACTATTAGAGCTAAGAGTGATATAAAAAGTCCATCTGGCAGGCACTTATTCTGTGCAAAGTTCTATCACTGAACAGGTCTAATAGGAGAAGTTCAGCTCTCCTGTAATTTACTCCCAAGTCCTGCCTCATGAGGCTATCTGGAATGTGCCTTACTCTCCTTTCCAAGTGACTGTCTTAAATAGCTTCTTAATTCTGGCGTCTCTCTGTAACACTCCCTACTTCTCCTTACTCCTTTCTGCATTTTCTTTTTCTCTATTGCAGTTAGCACCCAACATCCTATAACACTGTTCCGTGAAGATAGGGATTCCATGAAGATAGGGATCTTTGTCAGATTTCCTCACTGCCACTTCCCCAGTTTCTGGAAAAACACCTGGCATATAACAGGTACTTAATAAATATCTTTAGAGTGAATTAATGAATGAATGGGCAAGTT